TCATAAAAGTGAACTCATAGAGCAGAAAAACCTCACACAGCTTTTAAAAAGCGAGCATTAGTTTGGTCTCAACAGGTGAGAAATATTGCTCTGATCATCAGTTTGCCTTTTAGGTGAAGGACATAATTTTTTTTTTTGAGTGGTTAGAATCTTTTTGTGTGTTGTGTGTGAATAGGCTGGATGAGATGCTGTATCATCATACATTTTTTGGGGAAAAATGTATGATGGTTAGATGTGGACACTAACTTTCTGTATATATCATAGCTATTTAAGAATGATAAGTAAGGGACTGGGAGAAAAGGTAAATGGACTGGTTCTTATAGCACTTTATGCAGCTCAACTCTCCTCATTCACCCATTCATACAAGCACTTTTTTACATGCTTCCTATTCAACATTCACACACATTCACACTCTGATGGATACATCGGAGAGCAACTTGGGGTTGGTATTGTGCCCAAGGACATTTGGCATGCAGACTGGAGCAGCCTAGGATCAAAAGACCAACCTCATAATTAGAAGATGACCTGCTCTACCTCCTGATTAGTAGATGACGTGCTCTGCCACGTGAAAAAAGGGGTTATGATGTTCTTTCAAGTCGTTAATTTGTATAAGCACATTTTGGATAATTGTTTTGTTCAGGATGGAGTGTGGCCGTTGCTGCTTCTTGCATGTCAAAGATTGAGAGGAGGTGTACAGAAGGAGAAGGGGGAGGAGGGAGGGAGAGAGGTGAAGGGCGAGGAGGGAGATCAGTGATATGCAGTAGACGCTGGCTGCAGTTTGCTTAATGATGCCAAAATGCCTGCGTTTACACTGAAAATGCTACGGGCCACCAGCCGTATCGCTGTAGCAAAGCTTAATTTCATCACACCTTTTCTAAAAAAATCTGTCAGAGTCCATGTTTTTTTTGTGAAAATGTAACCACATCTCACGCCTTTTCTTGGTGGAATCTAATTATGGATTAATTATTGATATATTCATACAAGAGATACTCAACAAGCTTTCTGAAAATACTTAAAGTGGGTCAGTGGCTCTTTTTGTGTCCTCTCTCCATCGCAGTACTTTCACCTTTCCCTCTGTCCACCCTTGCTGCCTCCGTGCGTCCTGTTTCCAGCCCTTCCTCTCATATACATCTCACCACTCTCCATCACCTCTGCCCTCCCCTTTTCCTCTCAACAGCCCTTCTCTCCATGCTCCACCCACATCTCCCCTGACTTTCATGATCTCCATCCATCATCATGAGGAATGATGGAATGAGGAATAATTTATAACTTTATAAAATGAATATGAGATTACGGTGACATCTGAGTTGCTTTTCTCTTCACGTGTAGCGGCAGGTTTGTGCAAAGCCCGTCCCACCGACCTCGTGTTCATCATCGACAGCAGTCGCAGTGTTCGCCCCTCAGAGTTTGAGCAAGTTAAAGTTTTTCTGGCAAAAGTCATCGAGGGGCTGAATGTTGGACCCAGCGCCACTCGTGTGGGAGTTGTCAACTATGCCAGCCGCGTTAAGAATGAGGTTTGGATAAAGTTTTAAAAACGATTTCCGACATTTCTGATTTGTTTTCTCTCATTTCGATCTCACTCACTGCGCTGTTGTGGAACTGTAGGTGTCTCTGAAGACCCACCGCACCAAAGCCGGGCTGATCAAGGCTGTGACCAAAATTGAGCCGCTGTCCACCGGAACCATGACTGGCCTGGCCATCCAGTTTGCAATGAATGTTGCCTTCAGTGAGGCCGAGGGCGCTCGTGCAAAATCTTCTGACGTCGGCAAGGTCTGCCACACGTTTAGATGCGTTTGCACGTGAAATTCACCTCTTCCATAACCGCAATGGTAACTTTATAATCTATTTTGAACCCTCACTGTCACAGGTTGCCATTATTGTGACAGACGGGCGTCCCCAGGACAATGTAAAGGATATAGCTCAACGTGCACGAGACGCCGGCATTGAGATTTTTGCCATCGGTGTGGGACGCGTGGACATGAACACTCTGAGGCAGATGGCCAGCGATCCTCTGGATGACCATGTGGACTATGTGGAGAGCTACAGCGTTATCGAGAAGCTCACCAAGAAGTTCCAGGAGGCCTTTTGTGGTAAGAGGGGGAGAAGGAAGAGATGAGAGAAGGATTAGAGATGTACTGTAGGAGGTATAGATACAGCAGCAAGAAAGATGGATTGATTATATGCACACCTTCATTCCTGTGGAGAGAGCTGTCTGCTGCTCCCCTGTACTGAGGGTAAGGTGTCTGGACTGTTATCCTTTTCATTCCAATTTATTCTTCTCTCCCTTTTGTCCTCTGCTCGTCCTCGACAAGATTACAATGTATTCATTCAGTCCTTCAAACTCATTTAAAATTCCCCACAGCACGAGGGCATTAGGGTAGAAACAACCTTTTGGAATGAGATTTAGTCCTGTTCTTCAGTCAACTCTCACATAACCGAGAGGCGAGACTGATCTATCTGTAATTACCGATCCATTAGTGCCAATCATTAAGCCTCTAATTAGTGATGCCCTTCGGCGCTCCCAGTCTGCGGCAGCTTCGACTGCTGTTTGCTTCTCGCTTTGCGGCAGCCAGCATCGCTGCACGTGCAGATGATGAGAGCAGCATTATCATAGTGTTGAGGAGGAGCCTGTGCATCACGTTGAAAAATCCTCCAGAAAACTGGATTTTATTAGCTTAAGGCTGCTCCGATCTTTTCCTCCTTTTGCTTTAAGGCTCCACTGGATTTTTGCATCATCTACATATATTCAAACCTGTTCAGGTCAACTGCAGGTCACAGTGGATCATTAAAAAAATCAATGCTAGAATTTCCCATTTTCAAACTGACATAGTTTTATTTCTCCCTCTAACCCTACCTGCCTGCCCCCTCTTATGTGTGTGTGTGTGTGTTGTGCATGTAAGAAGACCTAGTGTCTGACCTGTGTGCCACTGGGGATCATGACTGTGAACAGGTATGCATCAGCACCCCAGGATCATACAAGTGTGCCTGCAGAGAAGGTTTTACCCTCATGGACAATGGTCGTAGCTGCAGTGGTGAGTGGGTGTTTGTCTCTGAAGGTATGTGTCCAAGTATGATAAATATGCTCTGACATTAACATGCCCCGTGTGTGTCCATGTGTGTATGTTTTGTTTTTCACCAGCGTGCAGCAACTCCGCAACAGACGTTGTGTTTCTGATCGATGGCTCTAAGAGCGTGCGTCCTGAGAACTTTGAGCTGGTCAAGAAATGGATAAACCAGATCATCGACAAACTGGACGTCAGTGAAAGCAAGGCTCATGTCGGACTGGTGCAGTACTCCAGCACAGTCAAACCGGTATGAGTCAGTTTTTTCTTTTTTTACATTAGAGTAAGCATTTTCACTTCCACCCTCATCATCATCCTAATTCTGCTCCATCGCAGGAGTTTCCCTTGGGCCGCTACAACAACAAGAAGGACCTCAAAGAAGCTGTGAAAAAGATGGACTACCTGGAGAGGGGAACCATGACAGGCCAGGCTCTCCGTTATCTGGTAGAAAACAGCTTCAGCCTTGGTCAGGGTGCCCGGCCTGGAGTCACAAAGGTGGGCATCGTCTTCACCGATGGGCGCAGTCAGGACTACATCGGAGAGGCTGCCAAGAAGGCCAAGGAAAACGGTTAGAGGGAGTGGGAAGGTTACGTCTAAAGCAGACTAAAAATATATACTTATGTGAATCAGATGAAGGAACGAGCGCGTTCATTGCAGGCTTTAAGATGTATGCTGTCGGAGTGGGCAATGCAGTTGAGGACGAGCTGAAAGAGATTGCCTCTGAGCCAACCGGAGAGCACTACTTCTACACCGCCGATTTCAAGGCCATGAGCCAGATTGCCAAGAAGCTACAGATTAACGTCTGTAATGGTGAGAAGTTTTAAACAAATGTGTTGTTATACTTCACAAATCACACAAATCTTTAACCTGTGTGTTCTTGGCTCCACAGGTGACCCTTGTGAATGCGACTCCCTTGTAAAGTTCCAAAAGAAAGTTGAAGCTGCCCTACAAGCACTAACAAAAAAACATATCCTTTATGACAGGTGACACTGTCTGAGGATATTATTTTGGGAGGGAGGGTGTTAAAGTTGTTTTCGCACTGTCTGATTTATTGACTGCCTTCACAGTTTCTCTCCTTGACAGAATCTTACTAGAGAGCATGTCGAAGAGGATCGCCTTGCTGGAGAACAAAATCGTCTAAGGACTCGTATCCCATTACTCACATGCACCCATGTACAAATACAAACACACACACACACACAAAATTTACTTCCTGTAAAATATTGAAGACACACCCCTCTCCATATCAATGTGTGTGTGTGTGATAATCCAGGCCTTGGCTCTTTCCTACCCCTCCAAACCACCTCTTGTTTTTCTACACTTCTGCTCTTGTCTCTTCTACCCTTGGGACACAAACGTTGGTTACCACATGAACATGCCTCTCTGTGTGTGTTTGTGTGTCTGTTTGTGTGTGTATGTGCCCTGAAGGTCATCCTCCAAAGCCAGCCTGTGTGTTTGCTAATAAAAGTCTTCCCTCATAGGGAAACGGTGATGGAACGCTGAAGGGTTTTTCTTTGTTGCTGCCACAGTGTTGAAGTTCCTGAAACCCCAGAGAGTGTGTGTCTTGTCATGTCAAACGAAGCAGCACATCACCTTCACTTGTTTGTCTGTTTATATGTCACTGTCATATTTCCCTATTCCTTCATCTTCTTCATTTTTTTTCTCCTATCATCCTCACAAAAGTTATCTTGCATTGTATATGATATATACAGGTAAATTAATATAAGATATGTCTGATACTAAGGACACATCATTGATTTCTTTTTATTTTCCTAAATAAAGGTGATTCAGGAAGTAAACAGGAAATTGTGAAACCATTATATCCCACTCTAGAATTACACGTGCAGACACAACAAATAATTTATACAGTTTTAGTTACTTTAATATAAAAGATTGTGGAAAAACCCAGAGGTTCCACAATATGGTTTCCAGAGGACCAGAAGGACTGGGTTGATATTTCCAGCATGTCTGCCACACATTAGCTCAGTGACCTGATTCAGCACACAGACATTTTAGGTACTTCCCAGGTGGCAATGTCCAATACAAAGTCCGAGATGTTTTCGGTAAAGTGCTGGGTTCTTGTATAATTAAAGGATTGCTGCAGTTGTGAAGGTAACAGAATGACATCAGTTAATCTACCATTTAATTTCAGTGATTTTGACTAAATGATAAAAGTAATTATATCATCATCATACATAACAAAGTTGCGCACTGACTGGTGTCTGTTTCACATTAAATATTAAACTTAAGCTTTTTCATTTTTGTAATATCAGTAATTTTATGACCTTGCTCAAGGCTTTGGTAATTGATGGGAAATGTGTAAGTTTACAGCTTGCATAATTACTAAACACAAAATACTATCCAGGTAAAAAGACTAATTGGGATCAATAATGTCTTTTTCAAGAGAGATCTAGCCAAGATGGCAGCAGAAATTGCAGAAAAGTATAACATAATAGTTCTACAGATATACTATTTGTCCAAAAAAAGACTGGAGTGATTACAGTGTAGAACACAGAGTGGGTACAATAAAGCAGAGTCATAAGAATACTTTCAAAACAGGTGATTTCTTTATTTTATATACATCCCTTCATGTATCATCTTGACTAAAACCTGTTTATCAGTATGAGCAAAGGCATTAGGAATAAAATTTAAAAAAAAACCCGCCTGAAATGAACACATGCTCACTTTGTAAAGAAAAGAGAAAACAGACACTTATGGATACACTGTTACTGTTAGTAACATTTAAAGAGACAACAGCCGCCTGCTGTTTATCACAGGAAAGTTGCGCATACGTCATGATGACGTTGCACGGGGGAAGCTCGCCAAGATCTGAGCGGAAGGAGCGTGTGAAAACTCTACATTATTCCCGGTGCCTTACGCAAGATAGTTTTAAGTTTAACTCGGCATTATGTCCACGATGCCCAGTCCAAATATAAATCAGCGGCTCGCGTTGTTTTCATTACCGGAAATCGTCATAGCTGCGGCTGAAAGAGTCTGCAGCATCTGCTAGCGTAGCGAGCTAACCGCCGGCAGCCGGCGTTCACGGTCAGGAAGCCGGGTGGGAAAAAAAGGTGGCGCTCTCTGAAGGTGGTTCGTCGGTGTTAATAATTTGCGAAGCAGACGATTGCGCAGTAAAAATAAGAAGACCGGCGGCAGATACCTCGAGGTTGTGTCAGTGAAGAAGAATACATGTTTCCAGCTAACGTTAAGGGTCAGCGTTAAATTAATACTTTAGGCTAACTGCTGCTCGGTAACGACAGGCAGCTCAACTCTACAAAGGTGCTCCGGGACATGGCCAGTAATCCCGCGGCTACCTGCCAGGCTAATGGAGACAGCAAGCCGGGAGGAGTGCCCGCCGCTCGGCGTTCGTGTGGCCACCGGTCCGAGTCTGAATCTGATGCTGGACTGACTTCGAAGAGCTTAGCGCGATTGTGCAGCAGGGATGACGGGGAGCGGAGAGCGGCTCTGGAGGAGTTAAGCCAAGGGGTTCTCCAGTGTTTAGACCTGGAGCGGCACGGCTCGGAGCGACTGCGTAAACAAACTCTTCTGCATCTGCTCCGGCTGTCCAGGTCGTGTCCGCTGCAGGAAGTACGGGAGAGAGCCGTCGAGCTCCTGCGGACCGCACAGGTAATGCATGCACAATTCACCGACAGGCTTCCCCTTCTTCTGTGAGGTTTGCAGGCCGCATTAACTGACAGATAGGGGGGAAAAATCTTACTCCAATAGCGCTCGGGCACCGTTTGTACCATTAAAGGATTTTTAGGTACTCTCAGGAGGACTGCTTTTGCTTTGCATGATGACGTTATAAGGTTAGGTAAGGGTAGGTTCACCTCTCTCATCAGCTGATGGTGATTTTTATTGCTACCGGACTGCTGCTGGTTTCATCAGCCTGTAGGTGATGCAAGACTCTGAAGCGGTGTGCACAAACAACCGGGCCGGACACGCCCCCTCCCGCTGCCTGAAAAACACACCACCAGCAGACACACCCCCGACTGCTTTCACGGCCCAGTGTAGCTTCTAGAAATTAAAAAGGCAGGCTGCTTTAGACGCCTTTCATTTGTGTTTGTGCTGAAAGTAACAAACAGGGTAACGTTTAGCGTCCGAGCTTCCGATGTCAGTGAGTTTTAACGCGTGTTTTGGTTAAACGTGGAAGTTTGAAGCGTGCTAGTTACGAAACGGGTGTCCTGTTACGGTTCAAAGAAGGTCTAGGCAAGCTAAAGGAGGCTGAGGCGTTGTTAAGCTGAACATATTTCATATAAGCATATCAGCGATTTGGATAAATGTGAATATTTACAATGGTAAACTTTTTTGTGTATGGAAAAAGTCTGAAAAGGTATTTTTCGCGTGTCAGTCACAGAAATGAGCTGCGTTTGAGGTTGATTTCCGTAGACAAGATGAATCCTTTAGGGTTGATTGGAATCTTGACTGAAATTTTGATAAACCAGAGCAATAATCAAGTACAAACTGAATGATAATTACGTGTTGTTTGTGTCTTTTTTTGTTGCCAGGAGCAAGGAGTCCAGGTACCTCGGGCTCTGGCCTCAGGTCCAAGTGCCTTTATCCCTGCAAAAGAGGTGTGTATGCAACTTAATAAAAAAGAATGAGTTTCCGGATTACTACAAGTATGTTTTTGCTATTTCCATTGTTTGTGTGTCAGACTTGCACCCTGTCTAGATGCCAGATTGTTTTTTTCCCCCTCAGGTTGATGTGAGAGTGGCACACAGCTGGCCTTCATGTCTAATCCTGTGATTTTTACAGGGCTCTTTCAGGTTGCTAACATAATGAACTAACAGCTGTTACTTTGAACTTAAGCTTTTCATATAAATATAATTGAAATGTTCTAAACTTAAAATTATATTTGAATCTCCATTGGCCTACATTTTTTTTCCCACAGGGTTTTTTATGTAAGTTTATTTTTAAATTATTTTCCATTTTAGAAACGGACATACGTAATGACTTAACAGACTTGCTCATTGAAATGATGCTATTTATTCTGCTGCAATACTACACTGCCTGTTGCATTCAACAGATGCAACACCCGAGCTGAGTTGCCAAAGCTAGTGGCTGATAATGTCTTAGCTCATAATGTGACTCATTCAGATTTCTTTTCTTTTTCATAAAGAAGAAGAAACCTTAATTAAGTTTACTCAGGATTCAGTTATGTTTTGTTTTTTTTCCTCTTTAGATTTTAAAAGGAGGGCCAAACCAGGATGTCCTGATTGAGTCTTTTCTTTCGCTGGGGCGTGTGGATCACATCTCTATGGTCATGGCGATGCACCCAGCCTACCTCTGCTGCTTCCTAAAGACCCAGCATGCTTTGTTGGAGATGGACGGCCCCTTGCCCCGTCACTGGAGACACTACATTGCTGTCATGGTAAGAAAAATGTTTTTTAGCCTCGAACTTTAATTACTTTTCAGCAGAAAGCTGACAAATTGCTTCGAACGGGGTTTCATCATAATTTGGACTGTTTGTAAAACACTATTCAGCCTCCTTTAGGGTCTTTTGTAGGAGAAATGTGAAATAGTATATGTAGTTCCTTAAAAAGAAATCATATGTAGTGTGTACTGCAGCCGTGTGCATGCACGATGAACCAAATAAAGAATTAACAATTGTGAACATCAAAGTAAATTCTCACTCTCAAACAGACGAGCTTGTTATTTTAGATTTTTTTCCATCGTAGTAGTTCTGACACTTGAGGTTAAATCGTTTTGTCATTGATACAAAATGATTATAGTTCTTTGGTCTCCATTTAATCTTTTCTACTGTTCAAACAAAGTCTTAGTGTGCGTGTGTGCGCGTGCGCGTGCGCGCGCGCGCGCGTGTGTGTGTGTGTGAGAACACCAGAACCTTTAATTGGCCTGATGTACTAGTTGGAGCAGTGGGTAATATTGGTGGACTTGATGTGTGATGTTTGGTACGAGTTCTGGGCATTTGATGAGTGCGAATGCTATGGAAACACACTTATGTGTTGTCTGACGGCAATGACTGTGTGTGCAGGTAGAAGGCTCAGGTCCTTTGTTGTCCTCTGTCTTCTCTCCGGGACCTTAGAAGTCTCACTTAGAGGATTACAATAGCAAGCACTGATGTTAATGGTCCGTTTTCAGTAGGGATAGAATGAAATATAAACACAGCAATAAAAACTGTATTGCTTCCTCCTGCTACAGCAATAAACTGGTGCTAAATACTGACATTGTTATTAAATGCTGCAGGCGTTCTAAACGGTTCCAAACCACCACATATTTGACTTTCCAGAATTCCTGCTTCATAGCTTCTTGTCGTGACACGTAGTAATGTGTAGGGAAAAGAAAAACAAATGAGAACGTTAACTAAGTCAAAATACCAGATTACAGTGGATTATCACATAATTCCTGCTTTTTTGCTTTTTACCCCTCAGTCATAAAAGGCTGATGGGGCCCCACTGAACGGGCAGCTATGTGGACACCCAAGATTGTAAACGTTAAGAACGAAGCTACGAAGGAGTTTCAAATTGATACCATAGGTGTGTCTAAACATCTCTGAAGAGTTTGAATCTGTGACCTCGAGGTCAAGGTCGGAGCTCAGGTTTCCTGAAAGTCTTGTGAATGTGAAAACTTGAGAAGGAAGACCCCAAGGATTTTGAAGTTGATACCATACGTGCTTCTATTAACAATCTCTGAGGAGTTCGGCTCTCAGTGACTTTGACCTCAAGGTGAGAGGTCAGGTTTTCTGAAAATCTTGTGAATGACTTAACAACTTGAGAATAAGGCGACATAGGATTTTGAAATTGATACCATAGGTGTGTCTGCTAGGACACTGAGGGGTAGCACTGGCTGTTGCCAGTATTTTCCAGTGTTTTTCATTGTTATGTATTTACGTATTTTCGATGCTTGTCTTGCCTATGATCAGAGTGTTGTGAATATGGTTTTCTCATATTAGCTTCTAACTGGCTCCATGTTAACTCCAGAACTGAATTTAAACTTCTTCTCCTCACCATAAAATCTGGATTAATCGAACTCCATCATATTTGAAGCCCTTCTGGTGTCATGTTATCTCAACAGAGCACTGTTCTGTCAGACTACGGGCTTACTTGTGACTCCTAGTTCTACTTTTAGAAATTCTAAAAGTAGAATAAAGATATGGGGCTCTTCCCTAACACCAGCTCCCAGTTTGGATCCTGGAGACAGACCCCCTCTCTTCTTTTAAGATTAGTCTGAAACTTTCTTTTTTGATAAAACTTATTTGTAGTTTTCACCTGATGTCAGAGCTACTGGGACACAGCTGCCTGGAGGGCAAAACAGAACTCTGATCCATTGTCCTCCAGTCCGTACTTTGAAAGCTTTCATCCTGGTAGCAGTGCAAGCTGAGGGATTCTTTACAAGATATAGGTAGATGTCACAAAACTGGAGCACTGGGAGAGACGTCACCACTATCAGGGACTTTTTGAAAAAGCTGCAGAGGCAGAATATGCATCTCAAGTCCCCAAAATTCACAGTTCTCTTTATATCTTAGTTTTTCCGCCATGGATGGATAATCAAAGTGGTCTTAGCTTGTCCTGCAGTACTACTAACTGTCTCTTATTGGTTGTGATGGCAAGGGTAGCGTGTTGGCTAGTTGTTGACTAAAAACTATGAATAGTTATGGCTGGATTACATGACCCTGAAGCTTCCTTATTAATGCAGCTGTAGGCTCAGGCTGCTCTGGACTTCATTTCCCACTCTCCTCTTTTCACTCCTAATGCAATCTCACCAACTTTTGTCCCAGCTGGTCATGGTAGATTGCTCCCCTGCTCTTAGCTTGGTGCTAGAGGAGATTTCTTCCTGTTAAAAGGAAGTTCTTTTTCCCCCCCACTGTTGCTGAGTGCAGATCTTTATATTGTAAAATAAAGCACTTTGGAGCAGCTGTTGTTGTGAATTGCAGTTGTATTAAATTGCAGTTGCCTTTATTACTGACAGAAATGCATTATTATAATATTGCAAGAGAGAGAAAGTATGCTTGTTTATAGAATTTTGAATTAATGTTAAGACATTTTGTAGTATAACCTGGTAATGTAGCTTCAGTTAGATGTTAATACTGTAATATTATGATGCTGTGCCTTGGACTTATGTTTTTTCAATTTGAAAAATGTGTATACAGTTTTTTGCTATACTGACTGAACTCAAATTTGAGATGTGATCATATATTTGTATAATAGAGTATTTAGAAGGTCGCATTCTTAATGCTTAAACATCTGCATTCAGTTGGCAAATAACACACGTTTTGGTAATGGTCACTGAACAGTAATGGCAATGAAACCTTCAGGGACATTCAGAAATTGTTTCATAGCAAAACAGTAAGACATCCAAAGACTGTTAGTGCCTTTCTGCTAATGCGATCTATGTGTCTTCAGTATTGCTTCACATTAACAGTCCGTAACACTTTAGAAATACCACTCACTGCACCCACCTGTGCAAGTTCAGCTGTGTTGTTTTAACCTCTGACACTTCCTCTGCATTATGGATTTGTTGCACACAGATATGTGAACAGAGAATGTGTGAAGCGTTGTTTTCAGTGGTCGGGGTTAGAGTTTCTCTTCCCGGCTGTTAACTTGGACCGTTCTTTGCGTCTGGCAGGCTGCAGCTCGGCACCACTGCTCATACCTGGTGCAGCAGCACAGCGCAGGCTACTTGGAGGCCGGAGGGGAGGAGAGCTGGCTAAGCGGCCTGGAGCACGCTCCCGCCAAACTCCGCAGCTTGCAAACACTCAACAAGCTGCTGGCACACAGACCCTGGCTCATTACGCAGCAGCACATCCAGGTCAGACACATCTCCCGCTCGCCCACTCACTCCCTGTGTCTTACTCCAACTCTAATTTCTGACTTGAATCCAAACTCACTCCCTCAGTGACTCAGCCGCTATTTCCTGTGTGGTAAACACCTAATTGTCTTCCATATAAAGAGTAGCAGACCCTATCATTTTGCATCAGCACAGACAGGTGTAGTTCCGCCTCTTTAAATCTGATACCTAGGACTGTGAGAGTGAAATATCTGATTTTCATTATCATAGTCAAAAGAATTGACAATGACAATATTAGTGTGATATCTTTTTTTTGGGGGGTGGGGGGGGGGGGGTTTGCCGCCTTTGTCACAGTCACCCCAGATGTGTATCTCAACGGAGATAGCACTTGAGTGTGCTTAACTGTGCACGCTGATCACCTGAGTCAGACAAGCACTGGGTGACTAGTTTGAGCAAACCCTAAATGAAGCCGCCTTCGTGTGTTGTTTCTCTGTACAAGGTACCACATTGTTGGCATGCACAAAAGTCTATCTGCAACTGCTTTTAAAAGATTAACTTGAGAACCATCTAACAGGATCAAACATAACACTGATATCTTCTTAAAGTTTAAGTGTATCAAAGTGCTTCCAGTAGAATTTTCTACTGTCTAAAATTGCAGTTAAGGGAAATTGCTAAATTAGATAATGCGGCTTATCTTTAGTGCAGACAGGCAAATGAAACCACCAACAAATGCCAAACCGGTAACACCCCCAGCAAACTGGTCCACAGCCTGGCATTAATTTCCAGCAAACACACAATCTGAAACTGCATGAGCCCAACATCTGCCTATCTGTCCCGCAGGAACTGGTGTGCCCCGGAGCAGAGCCTCGCTGGTCACTGGCTGAACTGATACACGCCGTGGTGCTCATGGCGCACGCTCACTCGTTGTGCTCGTTCGTTTGGGGCTGTGGTTTAAACCCAGAACCTGACCACATTGGGGGCTACACCTTTCAGCCTCCATCACTTTCTCACAGTCCTCACAGCCCCGCACACAGCCCCGCTCACGAGGACGGCAGGCACGAGGTGAGTCAAACAGATGTTCTGATCTCAGGCCTAACAGGCTTAAAATGACAGGAGGGTGGAGGTAGTTGATTTAAAGTTTAGTAACAGCCAAAAGATACCCACTCACTTAGGAAAGAAAACTGAACACACACTGAAACAACAAAGCGCCGACTTCATTTATCTGATCTTCTCCAGCTGGCTGATGGAGCCGTGGAGGTGGAGGTGCTGATGAAGAGGATGGTGGAGCTGCAGCAGCAGCAGGAGGAGGAGTGCACACAGGAGGAGATGGTTACTCGCTTTGAAAGGGAGAGGAGCGAAAGCATACCTACGGGTACAGATCTGACTGCTTACCCCTGCATCACTCTCAGTCACCTGTTGACTCACCACTTCCTCTCTGTTGTTGGTTTAGCGGTGGTGAGGGGCGCTCCACCTGACCTGGTGTTGCGTCTTGTGGAGGAACCAGAATTCAGATATGAGGACTTTGCTCCCAGAGGAGAGCAGGCACCACCCACCATGCGAGCACAGGTAGTTTGTTAAGGCATATTTTTCCTTTTTTAAAATCTATGTCAAACTTATTATAGTGAGCAACACTCTTTGATTTTTTTTGTGCCTTGTGTTGTAGATGTAACGTTGTTAATGGTTGTGTCTCATGTGTAGGACTATTCATGGGAGGACCATGGATTCTCTCTGCTTAACAGGCTCCTGCCAGACATGGGCCAGCTATTGGATGAAAACTTTCAGGTACCATCACCAAAGGCTGCTGTGTGGGTGATGTGAAAGGTCTATCTGTTGAAGTGCATGTTACACTACTTCACCTAGCTGAGACTAAGAATGGGAGGAGATATTGTTGACCTCCTTGTTTGTTTATACACTTGAAATAAAACTGCTTAGTGTCAGGAAAAAGAAGTGGGTGGTGAATACATGTGTATTGTAGAAAAGGGTTTTCCTGGCTTAGAGTAGACTGCAAATACACAAATCTTTTTATTTGCACTTATTCCAGATCATTCGGTAAAGAAACAAATGACTGACACCAATCCCAGCTCATTTTTCTTTTGTGAATTTTACAAGCATCACCCGGTTTGGTTAGACTGTATATAAAGGATGGAGGTCTGAAAAGTGAAGCCACTTTTGGAAGTGTTTAAATCTGTATTCTGTATAATGGTCTACAGGAGGTGATCTTCTGTAAAGTTATAAAAAAGTGAAGTGAGCAAACACTAATGTGAATTTGCAGATTGTGTGCAACTTGACCTACCACAGGATGGCCATGCATGAAGGCGTGGATACTCACACTCTAAGAAAAGCTCTGTGGAACTACATCCACTGTCTTTATGGAATACGGTGGGTGTAAAGGTGCCACCCATGCAAAAGTTCAGCCACCTTTAACATTTCTCTACTGTAGCATTAACATTTATGTCACTTCGCATGTCCAGATACGATGATTACGACTACGGCAGTGTGAACGTGTTGCTGGAACGCTCTCTGAAGGTGTTTGTAAAAACCATGGCCTGTCACCCCGAGCAGACCACAGCACGCATTTACCACTCCTTCTGGAGACACTTCAGACACTCTGAAAAGGTATGACAAGTTCAAACAGGCACTTAACCTGGCGTCCTCTGTCACGTATCATTTGACATTTTAACACGTCATCTCTCTTTGGTACCCTCAGAATCAACTAATGTATCATTTGGCATTTTAATGCGTCCTTCCTTTTTTAAATGTCATCAGAGAAGGAAGTGTTACAGCGTGACACCTTGTGAACTGAAGGAAATGACATGTTTCTTTTCATTTTTTTTTTTTCTTCTTTTTTTGGGTGCAGGTTCATGCCAACCTAATAGTGATGGAAGCCCGGCTACAGGCGGCACTTCTCTACATCTTACGAGCTATTACACACTACATGAGATGACAGCCTCGCTTCACTTGCACACATTTTTGCAGATGCTGAGCCAGCTGTGATTTACACCACAGTCCAATCCTTGTGTACACACACACACACACACACACACACACACTACAGTGAATGTTTGCTCATTCATATCGTATGTTTCAGTGTTAATGTTTTGATGCTGCTTTGCGCCTGGAATGTCATGTATTTAAATTGCGTTACCATTTTGTCTTTATTTTGTTCCTTTTCTTCTTTTTTGCACTGAAGTCTATCATTAGGTTTTAATTTCACACTTGAACCTCAAGTGGTGCTGTCTTGCACACATTCTTGTCACACAGACGCCAGGTGCGGTGGTGCAATTGGGTCAGGCATATCAAAATCAGTGTGGTGATTCAGATTGTTTTCATTGCTGAATGTTTGCTTGTCAGACAAACGCCATTGATCACACCAATACTACTGATGACTCAGTCCTCTCTGTCTGTTGCACACTGAGGCTGAGATGAGACAAACAGCTTGTATTTTTATATACAATAAAAGTTACTTTGTTATCAAAATCAACAGTGTTGTGTGTGTGTGTGTGTGTGTGTGTGTGTGGTTTTTTTTTTTTTAGTCTTTCCTTCTTATAATGGATATGGGCAGTTTGGGCTAATTAAGTTACATTAACAAACCGCAAGATGGCGACAAAGGCTTAAAAAAAACTTTTTGAAGGTAAGTTTTTCTTGTGCAACTCTAATTATAATGATGTGCCAATAACATCTGTCCGATTTCTGTTGAAATATGCAGATCACAGACAGAAAGGTGCCGGCACAGTGAGCCGCCACACTCCCAAAAGCATCTGCTGCACTTCTGCCTTCTTGCACGCGGATGTCACACATCTTATTCAGTCTTCCTGTCGTTCACACGAGTTGGCTAAACGTGTAGCTCACTACCTCATCTGCGCATCGTTCGCACGAAGAGACTGCAAACACTCCCCCAGCTGTGTGTAGGATACACTGTTGAAGAACCGGAGCGTTTTAATCGCTTTTTTTTTTTTTATCGCATTCTTTCGAGATTACAAAACAAAAATCTTAAAACTTTCTTATCGGTTTGCTTTATCATGAGCTCAATTGCGCGCGCATTCCTTTAACGTTTTAACCAAGCTGAGCTCGTGACCGTAAGCTCAGTCTGACGCCATAGTTACCGAGAACACGCTCCTATGTATCGTTTCTGTTAAGCGTAACGACACTGTTGAACTGTCCGCTGCACGCACTCTCTTCCTATGTGGGGTGGACCTCGCTGTGCGCGTGAAGTTCATTCCGAGCCTTCCGGCCGAGGCGCGCGCTTGCCTTATCCTCTCGCTCTCAGGCAGCAGCAGCGCGCGGCTCTTTCACTCCCGTGTGTCCCCTTCGAGTCTCCCACGGACAGCGCTCTCGCTTCACCCACCTCCGTCCCCGAGCGTCCCGACTCGAGGATTGTCCGGAGTGATTTCTTTTTGTCAGGTAAGTTTCTGCTCTCTGTTCCAAAGTAAATATCAGAGCGGTGTAACACATCTGGCTTACTGTGTTTGAGACTAAAAAAACAAAAAGCGAACAAAAAAAAAATGAAAATAAATAAACCAAACAGGTGCTTTACTACCAAATTGTGGGGTCATTCAACAGGTGGGCTGTGCGTCCTATTTAAACTTCAGCCCTATTTGTGAGTAAATCGCTTGACTCGAGACAAAGTTCAGCTGTAACGACTTAAAAGGATGCGAGCTGAATGCCTAAATAAGTAGAATATTTTCCACTTTTCTAATGCCACAGGGCGCTGTCCTTGATTTTGAGCTTCTGGTGAAAATTGAGAAACGTCGGTATCTGTTTGAAATAAAGGAAGTTTGTCTACTTGCTATGAGAAGTTAATCAAGTGTGGGTTTACCAGTAGCTTACTTCCACTCTTCATGATAGACAGATGTCACAGAGGGTGATATTTAGAAATCAGACTTGCTTATAGTGCAATTTTTCTTTCTTTTTTTGCAACAGCGGAATTTACCAGAGAAATTGGTCCTCTCAAATGGATCATTTCCAGTATAAGACCTTAGTTATTGCCCTTTTAGCTTCTTCTTTTTCTTTAATAACGGCTTAATAAATCATACAGGCTCTGGATTTATGGTAAAACGTGCCTGGATAGGGTTCATCATTTAGGCCTAAACCCAGAAGAGACTGTTAAACATTCCTTCACTAAATGTGACTAATTGGCCACATGGCTACAGGAAACCACCTTGAGGAAAAGGTATAAGAGGTTTCTGTGGCTTTATCATAGCCTCATTGTTGGAGGTATATGCCTTTTTTTTCACCCCAATCACTGATCGGGAAGCTACAGATAAGTAACAGATTACAAATTAAAACGTTGAAATATCCGCAAGGGAGTTGGCCAGAAATCTTTTAGGGGCTGGACAGGGAGAAACAGGATTAGGCTGTCCAAGGCTGGACTTCATCACTTCCTGTTTCTTTACCAGGTCAGTTCCTGTCTTTAGCCTTGGAGCAAGGCAGGAAGGAAAGGAGCGTGGATACGCTTTTTAGTGAGAAGTTTAGAAAAAGACATAGTCACATCGCACAGCTTTCTTAAGGACCGGAGAAGGGCCGTGACAGGTGAATACTCATGCAAGATGAGGCCTGCAGCCTGATAGTCACACACCCCTGCACCCCTGCGGCGGTGTGGTCGAGTTGACAAGTTTCTGTACGTCTTCATCCATGCCGTCATCCGAGGGAGAGTCTTCATGATGAACCCAAAGGACCAGACAATGATGCTCTATTTCTTAAGAAGCAGGCTGAAAGTGTTCAGCCTCAGTGCACGCAAACGCTCATATATGCCTCCAGCCGAGCCAGCTCGGGGCCTCTGTATCTGGAGGATATGATGACATCATGTGGAAACAGGACATCCCGATAACCGAGGCACCTTACTTTTCCACTGCTGCCTTCCAGCTCTGTCTCCCTGTGTTTAAGAGTATGTGTGTGCTATTGTGTGTGTATGCGTGAGGGTTCAGTGACAGCTTGTTTCCCATTGTCCTATCATTCCTGCCCCACTCACACTCTGCATCCTGTGGAGTTTCCTGCCCATGGGTGAGAGAGTCAGTGGGGGGAGAGAGAGAGAGAGAGAGAGAGAAAGGTGAAGTGCAAGGAAGGTAAAGAAAGAGAGATGAGGGAGAAGAAGGGTGGAGGCAGTCTAAGATTGGTGCAGAATTGGTGTAAGAATACGAAACACTGTGTGTGTGTGTGTTGCTACAGTGAGTTTTCCCGCTGGGAGCAGCTTATCTACAGTCCACTGTTCAGGAAAGGGTGTGTCCTTCAGATTTTAGATATTTGTGAGAGTGACGATGGTGGTGGAGGGTGATGTTATTGTGATTCTGTAAGAATGCAATGAATGTGGTTTTATTTGCTTCCTTTAATTGTTCCGAGTGAACACACAGCAGATCTCCATTTATCAAAAGCAAAGGTGACCGTACTCAATGAAGTGTGACTTAGTTTTTTCAGGTGCTTGCAGTTTGACTACATTATATCCACTGATTCTCAGATTAACATTCTTAACTTAATCTCGAAGAGGAGACATTTTGCACATAAAGTTTACAGAGTGCTCAGTCTGTCACATTTGGTATTTATTTTGCTGCATGTATTTTTAGATGCCTACGCATCTTTGCTTTTACTTGTCTGTCATGTAGACAAAGAAAATTCAGTAGTCTGAGAAAAAAAGGCAGAGAGAAAAAAAAAGGCAAAAGTAACTTTTTGGGAAAGAACTCCAACCACCATATCTGGCAAATACCATGCATTGCTCATAGCGTGGCTAATCTCATCCCATCGGTGAAGCGCGGTGGTTTATTTTCAGAGGCAGGAACAGGGAAACAGAATTGAGGGAAGAGTGAACGTAGCCAAATGCATAGGGGTCAGTGGAGAAACACCATGAGACTGGGCCACACCTTTCAGCAAGGCGACGATCTGTATGTCTTACAAACTAGTGGAAATACCCCTTTTTCTTTAGTTTGTGGCATAATGACGTATGTTTGTGTAGCATGCAGGTCTGTGGAACCACAAAGATTTTGACTAGCATGAAGCTGAATGGAATATAGTGGACAAGTAAGAGCATTTTATTTGATTTAAGCAAGGCCTCTTAAAATAAAATAAGAAACTCAGAAGATTTATTACACCACATTATGTTGAGAGCTGAGTATACCTGCTCAGTAGTGGCAATAAAGAATGCGAATACAGGCATCTGTCTCTGTCCTTGGTTGGTCGAGCTAAGCTCAGATCTAAACCCGCTGAACAGCTGCAGAGAAAGGTGAAGATGCCGGTTTGTGGATGCAGCTCACTCTGCTTGCAGAGGTCTCCCAGGAAGAGCCTGGAGAGACTTACCCTGAGGACTGAAAGCTGTAATTTGAATACATTTGCAAGAATTTCTAAAATGATGCCATTGACGTCTTTTACATCGTAAAATGTCGAATGCAGGAGTATTTTTACAGTCTGGTTTCTCCCACTCTGTTTACCTGAAGGTTAGTTTAAGCTAAAACAACAAAAGCAAGACCCAGAAATGCAGGTACGCAGGTTTTGAAGTCCTATTTCCAAGATTTATGTCTCCTGTCTGAGACAATGGAGATGAATGAAATTTAATCAGCAGTGCTCACTGCAGTTAGAGCTGGCATTAAAAAGTCATCAGGGATTCCTCTTGTTGTTGTTTCTTTTAAAAAATTTTATTGTCGACCTTTTTTTTTTTTTTTTTTTTTTAATGACATCAAGTGAAAACCGTGTGTAACGAAACTGTACCGTTCCAATGATCGAGAGGGGAAATGCGGGTGTTTGGGCGAAGTAGCACATGAAGTGAGTGAAAAGAACTCGAGGATTTTAATATCTGAAACAGATATCAGTGATTAGCACGAGGTGTAAAAGGCCCCGCTATTGTAGACAAACGTATCACAAACCAACACCGCGCTTCTCCCCACCAGAGGAAGTAGCTTCTCTTTCACAGAGTTTTATTATAGTGTCTTCTGTATGTTTGTCAGCTGCTATTAAAAAAATCCGCTTTGACATGCAGCACCCAGTCAGATGTTTAGTTTTGACACCTGCGTTTTTTAAAAAGAAGATGCAAAAAGAAAGTGCACTTATAGGATGGTCAAATGTGATGTGCTATGTGATATCAGAGTGTGGCATTTTGTTGAGCATAAGGTGAAAGGTTTTGTGTCTGCACATATGACTGACCTACTGATAATAATCTTGACACACATCTGGTAAAAACTGCAAGCCGTTCATTTTACAGCTGTTTCTTGCGTCTGCCGTCTCATTTTTTCATTATGGTGTCAAAGAGGAACTGGATTGTTTGCTGGATCGTTACGCATGCTGGTGTTTAGCGCACTCTCTGCTTTTTTTTACACAAGTCACAACATATATGCAGGGTATCAGTTTGACTCTGCAACCCCCACCTCACCACTCATTGCCAATACCACCAAACACCCACACTCATAGTCTGCTCTAGTACCTTCATCTACCTAATGGTAGACTGAAACCAAAACCCTGAATGTTATCACAAGGCAAAAACAAAAAAAACAACAACGAGGAGGAAATACACTCGCATATGGGTTTGTGTTTAAATCTGTACCGGTATCTTGACTGTGTCACTTACTGGTATGTAGGAGCACACTTGCGTGCCTTGCACCTCACTCTAGGCTGTGCTTTGTGCCGTGTGACCTCCACAAGTGTGTGCATGTGTTCTTTTTTTGTTTTTTAAATTAAGGTGTGAAGATGTACGGTCCTGTTAATAATCAGATGTTATTCTATGTGCAGAGAAAATGGCGGATGAGAGAGTGATTATCTAGTTGAGAACAATGGGTTTTGCAGCTGCCCTGCAAACACTTCCAGTATGTGAAAACCTATCTGTTACTGTATCAGTTCAACCTGTGGTCATCTGTCAGTCTTAGACATGCAGAAGAAGATGAGGTGAGGGAGAGGGCGAAATGGAGATAAAGATGAAAGGGAGAAGGGTCCTTTTGCATCCTCTGCCACTTCTACTTTCTGTGGACTGTCACAAAGAAAGGAGAAGCTGAAGGGAGGGTGAAGGGAATAAGAATGAACGACTGCTGTCGGAGGGGTGTGGGCATGGAGTAGACAACAGCAGCAACACAGAGGAAAGTCTGGGTGTGTGCACTGGGGGTGGGTGGGTGTTTGTGTGTGTGTGTGGACTCTGTCCTCAGTTTCCAGGAAAAGGGGGGAGCGATCACAGGGGTGGACAGGAAACTCAAACAGGGCTAACTTCCTGCAGCTCTCATGATGGCCAGCCTGATAGTGAATAAGTGTTTGTGTGTGTGTGCAGGATTGCGCACACATAGAGGCTTTGCGCGCTTTCGCTTTGAGCGCGGTCGTCTCGATGTAGGTTAGAACAGCTTTTGCTGCTTTAAAGATGGAGAGGTTTGCTGGGACAAACTTGACGCTGCTCACTTGGACCTCTGGTGTGTTTTCTGTAATGAAAGTAAATCACCTTTTTTTGCTGCTGATGCTGCTATAACTTGTATTGTTCTCCCTTTGTGTGACTTCCCCCACATTCCTCAGTAGGTGGGGTGGCTGGAGCCTGGAGCTTTTTTCTTCAAAGGTTGCCAGTTTGTATCCCGTGGCCATTGTGTACACAGTTATCAGTCTGATAGCTACACCTAGCTGAAACTAATGAAGAGGTCTACAACCGCTCTCAGAGAAAACTAGTTGATGTGAATTATTTCATAGTCTTTTGAAGGCAACTTTGGGCACCACTGTTTAATCTTTTGACCACCGCATAATAACCAAGAAGGGTAAAACAAACAAAAAATTGCCATCTGAAGGGACTTTGCATTATATGTGCATTATATGACACTACAAAGATAAAACTCTCTTATTAGTGCGCTTTTATTGAGAACAGGGAGAAAAAACTATGACCAGGATGTGTGATGGTGGCCATTTTCTTCTAGTTGACTTGTAAAGAGAAAACAAGAACATGAAAAGCCAGACTGTTTGCTTTATGACATACAGTCCAAAAGCTAAAGCTGTCCAGCTCAGTGTAAATGAAATGGTTCCTACAAAACACTTTTCTGCTCCACACAACACGTCTCACTCACACACAGTCTTACAAGCATGTTTTCCTGCGCGCTTTCTATCTAATATTCACATCAGGAGAAACTCAAAGTTGAGTACCAGCAGACTAGAACAGCCAAGGATGGAACCACCAACCCTCTCTGATTAGGAGGTGACTTGTCCTACGTCCTGAGCCGCCACCCCAAAAGGAAACTGTCTTCTTTTAGTTATTTTGTGGCATTTAATGTGTTCTTTGTTCATTGACCTCCGCTACCTCTTTAATTCGGCAGAGGTTTCATATTTGGAAAATAAATAAATGACGACCTCTCGATAATCTCTGCTTACTCTCTAAAAAGGGAATAAGCATATTTCCCAACTTTTGAACCAAGCTAAGCAAAACTAATAAACTGCTGAGTGGTTCATTTAGGTTTTCCTAAAGAAATGATGTTGGAAACAACCTAATTTTTCACGTTTACATTCCTTTCTATGATGGTTTTTGCTTTGGCAACGCCTGACAGTTAGCTGGAAACTGGAAGTCAAGGTTGCGTACATTCGTGCTAATCAACACAAAGGCATTTCGCACTGTTACAGACGGTCACTTTGTGTCAGTTACTCTGCTGTAATCCTGACATTTATGGGCTTATTTCATCACATGCTCGAACAGAGAAAGCAGGCGTGTTAATGCGCATGCATACACTCACACTCACAGCTGTTGACCAGAGAGAATGGCTGAATACCCTCTCTCGAAACAAGCAAAAAGGGAAGTGGCTAACCTCACATCTCTCACTGTCTATCCTTATCTCGAGCTGTCTCTGACTCTTCTTTCTCTAACCTCTCTGCCTCCTCACTTCTGCCTTCACACATCTCTTTATTCATGCTTTACCGCTCTCGAGGCTTTCGCTCACATTCTCCCCCACCTTTTCCCTTTCCGCTTCTCTGCCACTCATCCTCCCTTTGCCCCGCTCTCTCATTCCAGCCCTTGTCACTCACCTTTTCCCTCTTTTTTTTTTTTTCCAGCTGCGATGGTGATTGACAGATGATCTGACAGAGGAAGACATCAGGTGAGAATAAGTTAACTTCTCCTTCCCGCCCTACCTCCACCCCTTTTTCGCTTTCTTCCTCCTCTTCCTTGTTCAGGGAAGTTAAGTTTTATATTTAAATTTTTTTACTTCTCTCTTTACAGTTCTCCATATTTTTTTTAACCCCCTGTATGCTGATTTGTGTTGGTTTCACTTTCTACTGATTTGTGTTTGAAGTCTTAGCTTGTATAAAAAGATTGTGGAAATTATGTAGGCGGACTTAAATGTGGTCTGTCTCTTTGAGGGCTTTTCAACGTATCGCTGGTATTAGAGATTGGTGAAAGTTTAAACAGGATTTGTGTGCAAAATCGTCGCGTATCTACCTGACATGCACTGACAGCCGTGTAATGCAACAAGAAAGTAGATGCTCGTGGTACGTGTCATATATCAATATGGCGTTGCTAGCTTCAACGTTATCATCGTTATTAGCGCTGCCTGCAATGCATGCATCAGCGTAAGCAAGATGGTGCTATGAAGTCAAATAGTGTAAAGTGTTAAGTAGTGCAAAGGCAGTAAATATAACACCAGGTTTTTCCCTTTTTAATATGGCGTCATCGTAACGATGTCAGAACAAGCATTTTGAGTGTAAGAGCATGTAGAGGTGCATGAGTAGACGACTCTGAAGGGGAGATGAGCCACATTTTAAATCGAGTAGAGTTTTTGCTTTTTATGGGCACTATTTGGGAAATTTAGGATCGCACCTCTTGGGTGTGCTTGCTTAAACAGTATAAGCTGTCTCGATGCATGCCCAGTCATCTATGTAAAGCAAATCCAAGAAAGTTGATTCTGTTCATCTAGATGTGGCATTTTCAGTGGGATAAAAATGTTTCGGCACTCATTCAGGTGACTTTATAATCTGCTGTTTTTGAATTTTTTTTTTATTCCATAAAAATCAGCATCCATTAACAGGCAAACTTTAGCAACAACAAAAAAAGCAAAATGTTGAGTATTCTGAGGGGATCAAACACTTTGGCCATGAAAACCACAGTTAAGGTCCCAGTCCTCCTAAAGGCAGCGAGAGTCTGCAATGCCCACTTCCCAGGACATCTGCCCTCAAAACGCAAAAAACTCTGGTCTAGCCTTAGCAAACCTTTTCTCTTGCACATATTCACAAGAATGCAAGAATTTTTTTAAAAGAAATGAAAAATAATGAAAAAAAAAAAGAAAAAAGAAGATTTTGACTTCTCACATTAAAAAAAAGTTGTGTCTTGTTACTGTAACGCTGCTTTGCTGCGTTGCTTTCACAGACGCCGTCTCCGTGCTGGTTATCATGGGGTGTGCCTGTTGCAAGCAGAAGAAGTCTGCCAAAGAAGCAGCAGACATAGCAGATCTGTCTCCTAGCAACGCAGGTGGGAGCTCCGTGGCCTTGAATCAGGGCCGATACTGTCCTGACCCGACTCAGACCATCCCGGACTTCAACAAGGGCTTCTTGTCCAACAGCGCATTCCCCAACACCAAAATCAACCAGCGGTCAGGAGCCATAACAGGTAGAGCTGAGCCTGTGTGTGTTTGTTTGTGAGAAAGATGAATTTACAGTCCCTCTAAACAATTAACATCGTATTAGCCCTCCTGCTGTTTTTCAGTCTATGTCTGCACTGACATATTCAAAAGACCTTGACGATACCGGCCAATCATTCTCTTTCTTGTTTGAACACATGTGCAGGTGGTGGAGTAACTCTCTTTATAGCGCTGTACGACTATGATGCCCGCACTGAGGACGACCTCACTTTCCAAAAAGGAGAAAAATTCCAAATTATTAACAACACGTGAGTATACTTTTTTTTTTACACATTGCTTTAATGAAAAACAAAGCGGAAAACCCCCCACATAAATATATCTCCATCATTAAGAAACACGACAATCTGTGTCAGGAGCTCATGAAACAATGTTAATGTGATCTGTGTTAAAGGCGTTAAATTAAATCACTAAGGACTTCTGAGAGGTAATTAATTTTGTTTGCATACATTAAATACCACAGGCTGCAATTAAATACCACCCATTAACACCGTGAACTGCCAGAGGTCTCAGCTGCTGCTGGCAATGCTGACAATCTTTTGTTCTTGAAAAAAAACAAAACACTTTGCCCTGCTCAGAAATCCCAAATCCCATTTATATGATGATTTACATTCAGACGGGAGTTTTTGGGGTTTCTTTTACCTAAGTTCACACCTAAGCTGCTAATCTTCTTTCCGATCTATGCTTTTAGTTTTGCTTTTAGTTACATGAAGATCATTTGGTTTGCTAAAAAAAGGCTAATTTATCTTCCCTCAAGAGGTTATTTGCATTTTTCACTTCATCAAACATAACCACAGCTGCTCCCAGCAGGCATTCAATACAACTCAAAAGTTTGGGGTAATTTAGAATCGTACATTTTTTTTCAAAAGTAACATTGATGAAAAATGTTTTAAATGACAATAAATGATTAATAGAGTCACTATTCATAAATTAATATCTGTTTTTGAACCTACTTCGCCACCACTTCTGTGTTCAAGTGTTTGTGCTTGTGTTAAAAAGCCTGTTTCGGTACTTTTAGCACAGCCCAAAATAACTAGAAAAGCTAATCCGCTTCAGCGGTCGTGTGTTTGATTAGTATCACAAAGGGAAGTTTCTTTCTGACACATTTCTGTATTGTTGATCTAAGAGGAAAAAAATCAATGATGTGTAACACACTGCTTCCTTCAAAGAATAGGGCAAACTACCTTTGACCAGAGTGTTAACAAATGAAAGAAATGTGAGACTGCAGCGCATAACTGAACAAGAAGTAAAGTACGTCAGGGTCTCTAGTTTGAGAAAACGATGCCTCGTATGATCTTGGCTGGCAATATTATTACACAGTACCTGTAAGAGCCGTATTGTGGTGTTTTGTAGAGGCAGTCGTACACACTGGGGTATAAAAAAACTTGAATTTTTGGTGTTTCCTGCTTGGAATCACCTTTGTTTCTCAACATTGCACTCTGAGAGAGGTTTTTTTTAAGGGTTATATATACATATGGCAACTGAATTGAACCCACAAAGGTCGCTGTTTTAGACACTTAGCTACCGAGGTTATATAGGTTTTTTCACCAGCACAACCTAATTAGAATGAAGGTTTCTGTAGTGGCTTTCTTATTAACTGCCATTTATTTCTGTTTATTTTCATGTTATTTTGCATAAAAGCTACAGATCTTTCTTTCAAAAACAGTGACATTGCTCAGTAACCGAAAACCTTTGAGCACTGGTGTTTTGCAAACGATGAATTTTACATGTGCGTGTGTGTCTTTTGTAGAGAGGGCGACTGGTGGGAAGCTCGCTCTCTGGACACCGGCAACTCGGGTTACATCCCCTCCAACTACGTAGCTCCAGTGGACTCCATACAAGCTGAGGAGTGAGTTCACAAGCAGTAGCACATGCCCTGTTTGAAGCGAGCGATTATGCTGTGTGATTGACATGTAGTCTGAAGGCAGAGGTCAAGCGAGGGTTTGCCATTTTCTGTGGGTGACCTGTGTGATGTTGTCGTGGTGACAGGTGGTATTTTGGGAAGATGGGAAGGAAGGATGCGGAGAGACAACTGCTGGGTCACGGCAACCCAAGGGGAACTTTCCTCATACGAGAGAGCGAGACCACCAAGGGTGAGATGGCTACACACACACACACACACACACACACACACACACACACACACACACACAGATCTGAATCCTCTCCCTTCTCCCGCCTCTCTGCAGGTGCTTACTCTCTTTCCATCCGTGACTGGGACGACAACAAGGGAGACCACGTGAAGCATTACAAGATTCGTAAGCTAGACAATGGCGGCTACTACATCACCACCAGATCACAGTTTGATACCGTGCAGCAGTTGGTCGTGCACTACCAAGGTAACAGAAATGCAGGAAATGTGCACTCCTTTCTGCCTTTCCTTCGGAGTGTGAAAGCATTCTTTTGCTTCTGCCTCTTCGGCTTTAAACCTGCATCAGCAACATTTACAATCTCATTCTGTTCTGTGCCACTCAAATGCTCATAATTAGAGTATTTGAGTGGCACAGAAAGTAGGTGCAGTAACCAAAGTACTGCACACGTGCAGCACTGTGGTGCCTCCATTTTTTTGCGGCTTACGTTGCTTTACTCTGCAGATTCGTGTTTTGAATAAAAATTAATGATGGATATTAAGCTTTTAATATGATTGTTTTACCAACTTCCTTATCAAGTTATCAAACTGAGGTAAACCTCAACAGCCGCAACATTAAAATGGAGTTTACACTTTGGCGTTTCATAAAAATGACGTACTATGTTTAAAATACATTTTGATATGCTTCACAGTTAGGAAACTTGTAATGATGTGTTTGTGAGACATGGTTAATCATATTTACTTTGTTAAATGTATCTGAGTGCTTTAACCACTGATCACTGCAGACTTTTTAACCTTTATTTAGAGTTTGTGTAACAAGAAGGGCTCACACCCTGTGCTTCCTCTGTCAGTATAAATCTGCCCCCTAGTGGCTGCTACTGAATTTTTTTTTTTTGCAGTTTGTGATAATCAGAAGCCACCTGACAGTTTTATCAGCATAACTCAAGTGTCCCTGTTTTGCCTTTTTGTATCTACACATGCTGCTGCTGTTCAGAGTGTCTGTTTATGTCTGTTGTGCTGAATTTCTCCTTGCGCCTTTAGTTTTCGGTTAACTTGTCAATTGCATAAGCGCATAAGCAACCTGTCTTGTTCTTCCTTTATCTCTGCACCTGCTGTTTTCTTTTCCTCCTGTTTCCTTTTTTTTTTTGCCTGCCTGTTTGTCTCTCCCTCTCGCTCTCAGAGAGAGCAGCGGGACTGTGCTGCCGTTTGATTGGCAGCTGTAAGCGGGGCATGCCTAAGCTGGCCGACTTATCAGTGAAGACCAAGGATATGTGGGAGATTCCCCGTGAATCTCTCCAGCTGATTAAGAAACTGGGCAACGGCCAGTTTGGAGAAGTCTGGATGGGTAGGGCCAAAGGGGAGGGGATGCGTGTGGGGGAGAGGAGGCGAGATAACAACAGACGCACACCAGAATGAAAACACATTAAAACTGCAGCAGTCACATATAACACGTAAGCGTTTGTTGAGTTCGAAGAACATCAGTAAACATTTCTGGTGTGAGGAGCAAACACGGTAAAGCCCCGTGATCTGTGTTTCTTGCTCTCTTCCTGTATCTTCAACAAATACACCTGAGGATCAGACCACACAGACGTAGGAACGCACACATCATTGTCAGATGTAGTCTGCACCTGTTTTTACATTTTCTGAGGCAAATACTTAATAAAAATTTTCAAAAAGTGTGTTTTACATCCAGGTGTGTAAAGTTGTTCTCCTCGTCCCCTGTGACTGCATGTGCATGTTTCATCATCTCACTTCACCTCTTTGTCACCTCTCCCACCCACCCTTCTTCCTTCCATCTTTCCACCCACCACTTCACCCCCTTTTCTTCATCCATTCTTAACCCCACCCCCCCATCTCCACCTTCTTGCCACCTACCTCCTCCTCCTCCTCTTCCTTCCTTACTTAGGCTCTAATGACGGGCTGTGTTATTACCTGACAAAGGCCTGTCCCAACTCCACCCCGCTCACCATGGGTCTCGGGCGGGACGCCTGGGAGGTACCGAGGGACACGCTGGCCCTGCAACAGAAGCTGGGGCAGGGCTGCTTTGGGGACGTGTGGATGGGTGAGACCGACGCCGCCAACCTCTGACACCCTCTAGAGGCACAGAGGGAAAGCTGTCTGTCATTGTCCTTTGTAGTGTCTGCTGCTGTCCTGTGGCAAACATTGTTGGTAGCACTCATTGTCTGCCCTGTTGATGGCCATTTATGTCAGTGTATTTTAGATAGTATGTGTATTCCAGTTGAATTACCTGGCATTGCCAAAAAGATGTTTTTGCATTTACACTTACGGAAATTTCTGTCAAATCCCAGCGTTTTGGCTTTCTGAGCCGTGCAGAGTTTCTCCCTGAGGCCCGGCCGAGCTCTGTGTCTGTCCATGTAGCTCAAGTACTGCTGGTTTTGACGTAAGACCAGAACCTCCCCCTTCCCTTCCTCTTCATCTCTCTCACACATCATGCATGCTCTGTCATATGCATGCAAAATAGCCTGCATGTTGTGTACCTGTTGTCACACATACAGATATTTATATCAGGCAGATATCTACTGTACATCTGTATGTGTTGGTGTTTGTGTTGTCATATTTGTTGGGTACAGTGGATGTACAGTATATGCACCCATCCCCGTGTCACACTGACATAAAGACAGGTGCATTCGTCCAGGTTCTGAGGTGTGCGCTAACACACGCTTTTCTGTATGCCAGGCATGTGGAACGGCACCACCAAGGTAGCGGTGAAGACTCTGAAGCCAGGAACCATGTCCCCCGAGGCCTTTTTGGAGGAGGCTCAGATCATGAAGAGACTCCGTCATGACAAGCTGGTGCAGCTCTACGCCGTTGTGTCTGAGGAGCCCATTTACATTATCACTGAGTTCATGAGCCAAGGTATCAGGAAAAGTAAAACCGCCACGTGTGGTTGACACACTGTAGATATGAAATGCTGCCCTTACAGCAGGTAGAAACCTCAATGAACATTTGAACGCCCCATAAATTGGACTGGCTTTTACTTCCCTAAATGAGTTGACAAACCTCTGAATTTGTCATCATAATACGCCGACAGAGCAAAATAATATACAGATATTACCAGGATAAACGTATAAACAAATAACAATGGGTAGATTTCTTTAATTAAGTGCAGTAGTTCTTGGGAAATTAAAGCTGGTTCTCAGAAACTCCCTATCTAGTAATGAAATCTTTCTAGTAAATAAATAAATAAATAAGTAGACCACACTTCCAGACCTGCACTAATAATTATTTTTAATTGGCTGCCACTCTAACTTTCATCCATCTTTCAAAAGGACATTTTTCAGATATCCTGCTTGCTTGGCATCAAACAAACTACCAAGAACAAAAACCTAAGCAGTCACCAGCGAAGGCTTTCACGCCACACAATAATGAATTAGCAGAAGGGATGGTGACTTAAGGTGGCACTGTGTGAAGTGGAAGGTCAGAGTTAAGGGCCCCCCCACCCCCTTGATTCCCCGCTAAACAAAATGCAGAATCCCTACCAAAACCAGATTCTCTTTATTTTTCTGGACCGCAGCAGGTATAAGAGTCTGTCGTGATCCCACCTGTACCTCACCTGTAACTTTTTTAATTTAGGAAGTTTGCTGGACTTCTTGAAAGATGGAGAGGGGCAGAGTCTGAAGCTGCCTCAGCTGGTCGACATGGCTGCACAGGTGAGTTATAGTCAGGCACACTGGAAAAAAGAAAGAAAACAGCTTATAATCTACCACAGGTCTGAGCACCTGTCGTCTGTGTGGGTGTGCAGATTGCAGCTGGAATGGCGTACATCGAAAGGATGAACTACATCCATCGTGACCTGCGAGCAGCCAACATCCTCGTTGGAGACAACCTGGTGTGCAAGATCGCCGACTTCGGCCTGGCTAGACTCATCGAGGACAACGAGTACACAGCCAGACAAGGTAGCACGATGTCACATTAACTGTGTGCGCCTAAGAAAAAGAGCCACACTCGCACATTGCTGTGATTAACAGTTTCCTTCTGCCTCCATGTCTATATTTTTATACACAACCTATCCTAATTATATGATTATGCATCTCCACTGTGTTGCCATGGTTTCAGGGGCGAAGTTCCCCATCAAGTGGACGGCTCCAGAAGCTGCGCTATATGGACGCTTTACTATCAAGTCAGATGTCTGGAGCTTTGGCATCCTACTAACCGAACTCATCACTAAGGGACGTGTGCCATATCCAGGTACTGCTCTGTTTCTTAATTCACATGCAGCAACAGGTTTTTCCTTATCCACAGTGAAATTCCCAGGGGTTATTTTTCATCTACATTCTTAAAATTTTTTATACACTATCAACCATCTGGAAAAGCAGTCTCAAAGAAACCTAATCGCAGCGGATGAATGAAGAATATCTCTAAAGAACCTGTTAACCTCTTGTGTAAACTAACATGCAGCTTATGTGCTTCCCTGGTACTGTATGTACCACATTGGAAAACCAAACGGACAAAACATTTATATTTAAAAAAACAAAAAGAAAGACAGAAAGAGAGAAACCAGAAAATTACTGCCAGTCTGGCTGTGATTACAAACCTCTTATAGAGGGCTGTCAAAAAGAATAATTTGAGACTAATTGAAGAGCACTAATGTGAGGGGATCATAAAGTTCTGTGACTCCACTCGTAAAAATTTAAAACCATTCCTGATTGAAATAACAGGTCCGTAATGCTCACTGGATGCCCATCAGTGTGCCTTTAAACTGAATTTTGCGTTGATGAAAAAGCTGAAGTTGCCGGGGGCCCACAAAGATTGTTTTGGCACGTGTCATGGTTCAAATTCAGAGGGCTATAAAAGTCCTGAAATACTGGGGTTTATACAGTTTTCCAAAATATACAGAACCCCCCCCCCCCCCCCGATGGACAGACCTGTTTCACTTTAAGACCATTCACATCTACTATGTAAAGAATTCCAGATGTTTATGCACCATTTATAAATTACAATACTGGAAGTGGTCAGATCTTTATTTTCTTCAGAATCCATTGGCACTTTTGTCTCTCTCTCAAATGCCAACATTCCCGCTCTCTGCCTATGTCTCTTTTTAGGAATGAACAACCGTGAAGTGCTGGAGCAGGTGGAGCGGGGCTACCGGATGCCTTGTGCCCCGGGCTGCCCGACCTCGCTCCATGAACTGATGCTGCAGTGCTGGAGGCGGGAGCCTGATGAGAGGCATACCTTTGAGTACCTCCAGTCCTTCCTGGAGGATTACTTCACCGCCACAGAGCCACAGTATCAGCCCGGGGAAAACCTGTGACCGGCACACGTGTAGGGCAGGCGTGACAGCAATACACTGATGGGCACGCTGTAGTACTCATACTCATGCTCTCAGGGTATTTGACGTGCATGTACCATACAGGACACACACACGTACACACACATATAAAAGATTCATATTATTATTACTTTGTTGTAACTGTTTAAAGACAGTTTCCCCTCTTCTGTCTTTGTTCACTGCAGTCTGTTCAGGACAGATCAGTTAGGCGTATTGAAGAGTTGGAGCTCTTCTGGTCAGGCCTTGCAGTAATGTTGCTTCACTGTGTAACCATGACAACAAGGAACTGAAAGAAGATGTAGATGGCTGTGTTGGGGTTGGGGGGTGGGGGAGTCGAGTGGATACATGATCTGTTCAGCTGCCATATACGTTCAGGTCCTTTGATTTCTCTTTTTGAGAGGAGCTAGATTTTACTTTTCGCCTGAGATAAATATGTTGTAAGAGAAAGAACCGCAGGTGCAACAGGTGATTATCACGCATTGCTTTAAACAGTCTCCAAAAGCAGTCGAAAATGAACCTCGTGCCCCTATGTGGTCACTGAATAGATTATGTACATTGTGTACTAGGTTCTGTGTTAACTGAACAGAGATCAGTTTTTAACTCTTTCTGATAAAAAGAGCTGCTGAACTGATATCAGAGTCATGCCTGTTTCCTGCTTTCCACCCTATCGCCAATGTGTGCCTTTAAACTGGTCAAATGACTGTTTTCAAATAAGTACCTTTAAAACTGTGCTATGAAACTTTGAGGGATGGTCAGGAATGCGCTTTATTTGTCTGATATTTTGTATGGCAATTTTGTATGGATTGTCTCTTTTGTTTGTTTTAATTTAACTTGGATATATCTGTGCATCACAAAGATTTCTATATCTAGTTAACATGTATACAATTTTCATCCTTTTGGGAGGGCAGGGCAATATGGTATCCATAACAGGGGAAAAAATATATCAGAGGACTGTGGAAGGATGGTGTCTGAAATGAATGTAAGCTTCATGATGAGATTCCCCTGTCATGTCGTTGTAATAAAGATCAGATATCTTTTTTTCGAACATGTCTCTGATTATGTGTGTGCTTGGACACTTACACCGTCATGTCGTCACACTATGTCTTTTTTTATATGCATTTGTAAAATGACATGATTAAAAGCAAATTTCGAGTTACTGTCAAACTTCTGATTGAGTTGAAAGGCAAATTTAGTTCTTTTAATTATTTAACTTTATTAATTTGGCAACTTCTAGATTCAAATTAAAAACAAACACTACACTGAGACATTTTCCTTTCACTTTATTATGATTTTAAACACACGCCGAGAGATTTCGTTTTTACTAAATGGGCCTACCAGTTTATATTATTTCCACAAACTGCTTTGTAAAGGTCTACAATCACAGGTGAAAGACACAAACATAACTGTGTAAATAAATATATCCACGTGATCTGCAAAACCATTGTTTGATATGTGAATACAGGACTAGAACAAATAGTTATAGTTATAAACTTAATGGGTATTAAACAAAATATTTGTAATGTGCACATTTTATTGAGCAAGGTTAATATCAATGTAGAGTAAATGCATGGCAGTCTTTTGCAGCGTGTTCATTGTGGATGTTATCACTATGACAATGAAAATACCAACCATCAGTCAGCCTCAGCGGCTGTGTAATTGTTTCATCAGCAATTCCCCTGAATTTACCAAAGATTGTTAACGATTTCCAACAAAAAGACACAAAAATGTTTGAATAGTTTCTAGAAAAGTGATGAAGGAATGAAAAAAATAAACCTGATACTTGCTATGAGTCATTCAATGGATAACTCTTGATCCAGGAACGTATAGTGGGTCTAGAAGATACTATGATCAGTAAATCTTTATTAATTTCTTCATTTGTTTCAGTAAATCAATTTAATTTCACACTAATCCATTACTGATTGTTATAATATTAGTTATTTACTCTTTACTTTGGGATTCCTTTACCAGTGCCTAACGTTTATGCATCACCTGAGTATGATGCTGTACTTTACTTCATATTACTTGAAGCATTATCTACCACAGAGCCCTGAATAAGCTGTTATTAGAAAGTTATTAATAACAAATGTTTCATTAACCATCGGGTCTTTATTTTTCTTTAATCATCCATTTTTGGTCATTTATTTTAATGTGTTACCACCCCCCCCCCCCAACCGACATCTTTCTGGAGTCTAAAACATATTAATGTAATGTATATATAGCTGCTGTTTGCGCTTTCTTTAACGTCACCGTGACTCGCTTTCTTTCTTCAGAAGACTACTCTTCCCATAGTTCCAGAGGTGTAAAGTAAAGGCAGCTACGGGTGCCCGGATGGCTTTGACTGTCAGGCACGTTGGAGAGGCACAGCCGAGACCGGAGCGCACGAGAGACAGAGAGCTGGAATTGCAGAGGCAGAGACGCACGGGCGCACGGTCGATTTTCGCCTCCCGCATAGTGGGGAGTCCCGCGCCTGTCACCCCAAACCGAAGCACAGTGTTCGCAAGCGGCTGTGTCAGCACCTGAATTAGAAAGAGGACGGTGAAGCAGCACCCCTGCTCCTTATTTTTTACATTTTCTCCCCTTTCTGTTTTTTTGCTTTCCCGTCTTTTGTGGTGCAGATATTGATGTGAGCCAGAGGAGCGGTTTTTCTGTTGAACCGCTCGAGACGGTGGCGCGCGGCGGGAGAATACAGCGTTTACATTGATGTGGGAGGACTATCTCCTTCCGACGCGGGGAGCTGAGATGAAGGGGGAATGCTGCTCGCTGACGGCTACAGCCGTCAAGGCAACGGCTCCGTGACCCGGGCGGGAAGAGGAGTGAGCGCCGCCGCCGACAGCTGCGCGAGCCCCTAGCCAGCGTTGACACCGCGACAGCTCCAGCGGGCAGCGCGAGCCCCCAGACTCTGTGTCCCTTGGTGAGTGCGCGACTTATGTACTAAACATTCAAATTTTGCTCGCCGTCCACTCAGCCAGCTGTGCTGCGCACCTCTGGCTTTCTTTCTGAGTTTAAAAAAAAATGTTTTTCTTACACTAACCTCATCGGCGCAGTCACCTGGACGGAGCTCTGCATGCGTGCCGCTCGTGCTGCTGGGTCATCTGGGCTTTACTGTGGGCATGCAGCGTGTGTGTGGTTAGACCTTAAATGATGATGTTCAGACACACTCGCGTGCGCTCACACACACATACACACGCGCGTGCGCGCAGTGTAGTTCCGTGCGTGAACCCAGTGTACCCTCACCTATTTTTCCTCACTATTTGCAAGATTCTCACCTCTTAGCCTCATTATCACTGAATATATATGTACAGTGAAGGTAGGGCAGCAGTGTACAGTAGCACCCCGGGTACTGTCACACTGCTGACACACAAACACAGACCCACACACACACACATGTTCTTTTCTGTTCATTTAATGTCTGCACAGATTTTTACCTGTGGGTCAGCTTGATTGGACTTTTCTAATATCTATATATTTACATATCAGTGTGCATGCAGTACAGATGTAGCTGTGAGCACAACTCCTGCTGGCGGACAGATGTTTTTCTGAAGCAGAGCATCCATCCAGCCCTCTGGTTTCCTTCTCGGCAGCCCCCCAGATCTGTCACGGCAATAAGGCAGGACGCAGCAGCAGCACATCCTGCAGTGGCAACAGAGGCAGTGTGTTGGAGACAAGGCATACTCATGGTGGTGATTATCAGCTCTTGTCTGTGGTTTAGTAGAAAAGGAGGGAGGGGGTGCAAAGAAAAAAAGGAGAGAGAGAGGGTGCAGAGGAAGTGCAAGAAAGGAGAAGAAGAGGGGATGAGAGAAGTCAATGTCAGTGTCTGGGCAGTGACAGTTCGTTATTTAAGGGCCCCTCAGAGACGTGCACAGGCTGCCCTAGTGCAGGTGCTGTTAGTATGCAGAGTGATGCTCTGTCTGTCTGTCTGTCTGTCTGTTTCTCACTCACACAGTCTCACTCTCTCAGTGGCTGGTTGAAGAGTGAGTTCTCTTTTTGGCAGGTCCACTTGGACATAATGAATAATTTCAACCCTCTGAATGCTGGAATGAAAAGGAAATGGCCTTACCTTGGCATTCAGCCGCTGTCTGTCAGACTTGTCTTGAGTGCATGGTAGTGTGTGTGTGTGTGTTTGAGAGAGTGAGTGACAAACAGAGGGAATGTGAACATATAACAGCTTAGGCCCATTGTGCTTCCTACCTGTGTGAGCGGGGCTAGTTGTCATAGCAACGGCCTTGTAGCTCCGTTGATGTTCCTCCTGTCCTCATTGGCAGGGTCAGCGCACCTAACACACCACATCTCGTCTCAAATCTGAGTGTGTGTGTGCTTTGGAGGTACCTTTTGTTTGTGCCTTGCTGCAGTTTGTAGGCGTATAGGTTGATGGCACAGACAAGTCAGTGTGTGTGTGTGCGTGTTTTGAATGTGTGTGTCTGTGTGCGTGTAACAAAGATACACCCTGCTGATATGACAGCCGACAGCTCAACCAATCACCTGTTTCCTCTCTCTCTGCCTATCAGCATGTGAGGTTGCCATAGTCAGACGTCCCCTTGATATGGAGGTCGTCATGGAGATGGAGAAGACAGAATGGACGCACATATTCACCTATAAGCGCACGCACATAAATACACACACACACAGGGCATGGAATGGTACAGTATAGCCACTGACTTCCACTGATTTCTCAGTGTCTTGGCAAGTTTTGAGCTAAGCAGGATGGTGCAACCTGTTGAATGGAGGTTTTGATGCATCAACTCTGCACACAGGGCTTTTCACGTCAGAGCCAGGATCATTGAGTAAAACTCTCTGTGGTCTTGTGACAAATCATCTGCTTAAGTTGAGCCGCACACACAAATCGGGATGCACCTTTATATTGGCCAAATATCTAACATAAAATAATGTTTACCAATTTTGTGCTGGCTAAACCTTCAAAGATATTGTGAGGATGATTCGAAAGACTTTGAAACAGTTGAGTTATTTTTGTCATACTGGAGATTTCCGTTTCTTTGTTGTCAAGGTGTAATAAATAACTACAAAAAACAAAAGAGAAAAAAAACAGAAAAATGCCACCATTCTGGCAAATTGTTATAAAAATCTGCACTGGCTCATAGCTTCATAATTGGTGCATTCTTGAATGCAAACAGCGGAGATTAAATCTGAAAGGATATCCTATAGGAGATTGGATCTGTTCAAATGCTTATTCTCCAAAAAGAAAGGACTCTCCTTAGTTCTGCAAAGCATCTGCCTTCTAGCTGTGTGCAAAACTGGCTGAATGCAACAAAGTGAAGTTTTTTGGGTTTTTTTTTTTGAAACAACAGCTGAAGATCATTGTGGCTCTCAACTCTGAACCCTTCACAGCAGCACTCAGGGAAAAGGGAATTTAAACCATTATCTTAAATGAGTCCAGCAATTAATAATACTTTGTACTTGAAATGCCTCCCAAAATACAGAAGTAACTGATTGCAGAGCACAGATTAACCAACACACCACAAATAAGCCATTCACTGTCCTCAAAGCAACAGAATTTGGTTGGATAGCGTTCAGAATTGTTAGCGGTTCTCTCTAAAGCTGGGATTTTCACCTCGATTTGCCCAGAGGCCATCTTTATGCAATGACAGGAGGCCAGAGGCCAGTTAATAAACAAACAATAATATTTCTAGTATAAAACAAATAAACATTAAAAAGACCCAACCTTTTTTTTAAGACCTATGTAACATATCATACTGCATCCAGTTGTTCCACTGCGCTTTAGCTCCAAACAGTTACATGTAAACCACTCAAACACAACCTGAACCTCTTCAGTCAGTTTTATTAAAGGAGTTAGCCAGCTGGCATCCTCTGGTGGGTCTGATTTGTCCTCTGAGCCTAAGTTGAGTATCGCCATACAAACAAAATTAATGCTTATTTTGCTGTTGTTTCTAAATCATTGGTGGAACAAAAGGAGGAAAAAAAACTGACATCATGTACTAAAAGACCTCTAAATGAAATGTAGAGTGAAAGGACATTTTTGGGCATATTTAAAAACTTTTTCTCTGCAACAAGCCACTATTGGCAAAAAATAATAATTAGTCACTACTTTGTCCTTGGGGTGAAGGGTTCCGTCTTTTATGACTCTTTTTAATCTAATGGTTACCTGAAGTGAAATAGCTTTTGCCACAGGCAGGTAAACGTGGTTCAACTCCCCCCCCCCCACACACACACACACACACACACACACACACGGATGCACCCACACACACAGCAACCGTTTAGCATTAGTGTAAGCAGTGTTTGTATGCTCCATTCTGTCACCTCCCACACGATACATTCATAAAACGGCTCCTCCGCGCCAAAAGCGGTGACTCAAGAGGAGACATCTACCCTTCTCTTTTTCTCTCGCCTCCTTCCTTCCTTTAACCCCACTGTTCTCCATACACCTGTCCTCCAGTCAGTGCCACCCTCCTCCCCCAACACACCTTTCTTTTTTCCTCCTTTCACTTGTCTTTTTCACTCCTTCAGCCTCTCCTTTCCTATATGTCCTTCCTCATCCCAAGTCCTCATTCTCTTCATCCCCCTTACCCCTACCTCCCATACCCCCCCTCCAACGGGTCTGGTTGCAGCCGGTTTGAGTCTGACAGTGGAGAGGAAGCACCGACCTCTCACCTCCGGAGGATGGAGCGAGGTGCGGCGGGGTGTGGGGATAGGCAAGAGGAGAGGGGATGAGGAGGCAGTGGGTGGAGGGGAGGCTTGGGGGGGGGGCGCTGCTGAGGGAGAAGGCGAGAGAGAGGTCAAAGAACAGGAGGGATTTGTGAGGGAAGAGAGCTGGGGGAAGGGACGGAGGGAGGGAGAGCACATGAGACAGAGAGAGGACAGAGGGGTCAGGAAGGAGAAAGGGTGATAAATGAAGGGAGAGCGGCAAAGATGGAAGTATGGGGAGGGAAGGATTGACCGGCGCAGAAGGGATGAGAAGGAAAGAAAGACAGAGTGTGAAGCTGCTGTGTACCTCCCTAACAAGCTGGACAGAATCAGCTCAATTATTAAAGAGGAGCGAGAGATGGGGAAAACACGCAGACACAGACGTACACGCACGCACAAGAAGCATCTCTCCGTGTCTGGGCACACAACACGATCGCATCATCATCATCGCAGACACACGCACACCTATCTGCACATGTGCAGCTTTGTGTTTCTTAGAGTTTCTCTCTTTTTTTTTTTTTTACAGCTGTGTGTGATTATACATGTGTCTGGGTATGTGTTTTTAAAAACATTGAGTCAGTGGATAAGCAGAGACTTGTTAGTGATTCTCCTCAACACGCACCCCCCCCCCCCCCCCTCCCCCCTCCTCACCCCTCCTCAACCCCCCCCCACTACCCAATTTGGCTTCAGCGCCGTCTCAACGTTCCACCAGCGTGGCTTCAATGTCGTCCCATCAATATGAACAGATAATCAGAGCACTAAGGGGTCTGTCTATAAATCCCCACTGTGAGTATAGTTCTCACCCTCTTCCCTTCCTTTCTTCTCTACCCTTCTTGTCTGTCTTCCTCCCTCCTCCTCCTCATCTTCCTCTCTCTTGCCCGTTCCACCCTTGTTTCTAGTTCTCTTTCTTCTTTCCCTTTTCCCTCCTTCTCTGAGGAAGTGTATGCCCCCAAGGGACGAAAAGATTCGCTACCTTCCAAGAGAGAAAGAGATTGTGAGCGGCTCTCTCTCGATATATATGTGTGTGTGTGTCTATGTGTGAATGTGTGTCCTCCACATATGTGCGTGCCAGGATGATAGTGTGTGCGTGCGTGAGAGTGAGAACACACACTTCCTGAGACGGAAAGGGAGACGGCGAGAGAGAGAGAGAGAGAGAGAGAGAGGCAGGGGATGAGCAAGTGAGGAGCAAGTGAGAGACTGAAAGCAGGAGGCTGTGGAGGGGGGAGGAGAGAGAAAGAGATAAGAGAGAAA